GGCTTCACCTGGTCCTCGCCACAGCACACTCCTCTGGCTACAGGCCACTCGCTCTCAGCTCCACCTTCGGACGAGTCCGTAGAGCCGAGTGGTCCTTACCCAGAGCTAGTGGGCTGCCTCATGTACCTGATGACCTGCACTCGTCCTGACCTTGCGTACCCTCTTGGCCTTCTCGCTCGCTACGTGGCTCCTGGTAGGCACCGACCGGAGCACATGGCTGCTGCTAAGAGGGTATTGCGCTACTTGTGCAGTACATCGGGCATGGGGCTCGTGCTTGGAGGGCGGAGCCCAGTTGTCCTCACTGGGCACTCGGACGCTTCTTAGGTTGACGACCTGGCTACACAGCGGTCGTCACAGGGTTACACCTTCAGCCTTGGCTCTGGCTCTGTCTCTTGGCGGTCTACACGCTCGTCTTCTGTTCTCGGCTCCAGTTGTGAGGCTGAGATCTACGCCACAGCCATGGCTGCACAGGAGCTACGCTGGCTCACCTACCTGCTGACCGACCTGGGAGAGCGGCCTCGTTCTCCTCCAGTGCTGTACGTAGACAACAAGGCCGCCATTGCCTTGTGTCATGAGCACATACTGGAGCACAGAACGAAGCACATCGCTCTGCGTTATTTCCTCGCTCGAGAGTTGCAGCAGCGAGGTCAGCTTCGTCTTGCTTACGTGGCCACTCGGGCCAATACTGCTGATATATTCACCAAGGCACTTCCGTCTGGTGATCATCAGCGTTTCTGTACTTTGTTAGGCCTGGTGCCTACGTTTCCTCACTTGCTGTAGACCTTGTTTGTACTGTGATCTATATATATACCTGCTTGCTTGCTTTGCTAGGTAGAGATCACTGTGATGCTGTTGTTGCATATATACCTCTGCATGTGAACTGGCCTTGTGGCCCTTTGCTTGTGCTCAGTGTGTGTGGTGACGTTGTGATCCACCCTGAGCTTGCTTTGCTTCTCTTGACTGGTCTTGTGACCCCTTGCTCTCCCCCACTTTGCCTATGGGGGTGTGTCAAACTATGATAATGCTTGTGCTGTGTAGGCTGTAGTGGGGTAGCCCATAAGGGGTACAACCCAAATTAGGGTTAGCATATGTACCCACATCTCTGTTCAATGCACTCATTCCTGCTGCTAGATTATAACAGTTTCTAGGGCTTTGTGCGCGGCGGATTGCACAGCGGCGTAAAGACTTGGGGGGGGGGGATGATGGGTCAGCCCGGATTTTCGAAACCGGACTCACTACACGACTTTCCGTGGCACTGCAGCGAGCGCAAGCTCAGAGTATTATACAGCACGCGGTGCAGCAGTTGGGAGGGTCAGACGATGGGTGGATGCCCGCACCAGTCCCTTTGGGTGCAGGGCAGGGCAGTTGGCATCACATTACCGGCTGTTTTGAGAGCGTGGCAGACATACAGTATATGTACGATGCATATGTATAGGCGTTTAGTGATTGTGCTGTAAAGGCTGTGTCCCGCGCTGTGGTGCGGGTTGCTGTGGTGTTTTGGTCCTTAGGTGTTTCCTTCCTTTAGTTTCTTCCTCTCTTCTTTTCCTCTTTCCACCTTTCCTTTGGCCCTTCTCTTCTTCTCCAGCTCTTCTCTCCGCATCACCCTGTCTTTGTTCCACCATTTCTACCTTCCTCTAATACCCCTTATCTTAATTACCCCGACTTTGTATCACACTTAACCAAGGAGCAGCTTTTAAGGTTCAAACGAGCACCTCAAAACCCTACACCCGACCGAAGAGCTTCCTGCCAGAAACGTGCAGGTTCCTGGTTTCCGGAAGAGGTACTACAGTAGTTCCCAGCAGAAGTTCGAGTGGTGGCGGATGCTTCTTTTTTTCTCCTGAAGGAAATTTTCATTGGTCGTCTCTGAGCTGCCTAAAAGTCAACGTCAGAGGCAACATAGAAAAATGCTGTACTACAACATCCACATCTCTCAAAGAGGGACCACAGAAATGTAGTTTCTGTGCCCGCGGGCAGAGGACAGATAATTTGATGTTTTCCTGCAGCCCAGACATTCTTCGGCTTTCCAGTCGAGATCTCACAAGCACTTCTGAACCCTAGCTGCTCCAAAATCTCTCAAAGGTCTCAATTGCTTGCACAGTGGTTCAAGGTCTCATTCAGATGCTTGCACTTGTCCAATCCCAACGAACCAAACCAGTGGGCGCATTGCCCCCAAGACTCTGCAGTAAATGCTGCATTCATGCTCGCGAAGCTCCCTCCCACTCAACCAACCCACATGTGGGCCACTTTACCTCCCAAACCACATGATCGGCACGACGAATTGCTGCCAAGCTTACATATCGTACCGTACTGTAACTCATTCATTGTTTTCGCAACCACTCTAAACATCGCTTAGTTCAACTGGTATGAGACTCAGGCAAACCTCAGGCCAACCAGGGTTGCTGTTTGGATAGCAAGAGTTCTTGAAGCTTTCTATTTTGTTACCAAATCTGATTCCTATCTCAAACGTCACAAATCCGATTAGTATCCGCTTATCCGCATAGTTGCCCGAACCAGGACTGATGATAGGACGGGGATCAATGCCTTCGGAAACGGCGCCCAGCTTAGCGCTTCATGGCGTCCCTTGCGTCACAGCTCACGATGTGTTTCGACAGCCACTCCCGGCGTATATAACCCACGTGCTAATGCTCTCCAGATCACTCTGCTCACACCAATCTTCTCTACTTTGACGTATCCCGGAGACTCGCACTCGAGACGCCTCTTGCGACTCTGAGCTGAAGAGCTTCTTCCTCGACAAACAGCCATGGCTCACTATTCCTTCGCCGTGAAAACGCCGTCCCTCAGCAGCGCCGCTGCACGGTCGCGCTTCCCTAAGTCATGCTCAACCGGTTCCGTGAATCACGGAACTGCCACATCATCGTCTGCCTTTCTGTCCCCGCTCGTGTCCCCCTTCGCTTCCCCTCTCGTCTCCCCATTCGCGGCTACCATCGCTCCTGGGGAGATTCATCGTCCTTCAAAGCCGATATTGCCTACACCAAAGCCTTCAAGTCAAGCCTGCGGGAGTTCTGGAATTACGCAGGCTGCTTCTATCGAGCGCAGTTCTGTTTTTCAAGAGTATGTCAGTTGCCGTGATGAAGCCCTGTCTCTTGACAGTGACGATGAGGAGTATACATTGGAAGAGATCGCCTCTCAGGCGCGTATGGAGGCCACCAGACTGACAGTATTGGGATCGCGGAGAGGATCCGTTCACATTCAGCGCGAATCATTCAGCCTCCAAGTGGATATTCCAGTCCACTCCACTCAGCTGAGCTAGGCAAAATTCAATCGGATTTCAATAATGATAGGGAGCACAGAGCAACAGACGCTGACGTTTTCTTTGTGGAAGGATTGTGAGAGGAAAGCAGCAGCTGAGTCTGTCTGGCGCTGCAAACCTGTTTTGAGAGTTTCATGGGGATGCATGCAGTCATGTGGAACGTGTAGTATAGCATGCTTCTTTATCTTGTACTAATTGACCTAGTCTTAGTAATAAAGTTGCCTGCCTTATTATTTTCATACTGCTTCTGATTACAATTCGTCTATAGTGATTTCACCAAGTATCAGTTTCATATTCTGCATATGAGGTGCAACGGACAGACATTGATTCAATGAGAAAATGCCCGTGTTTGTGTATAAAAAAAAAGACAGCTCAAATAAGGATAACATCTTGTTTTTTCCATTCCAGTGTACACTGTATCATCCACACTCATCAAGTTGAGTTTGTCAGCCTGACATGGAGTTTGCACTAGCAAATTCTGCTCAGAACTTGGCGGTAAATTTCAAACTCAGCCTGACAAGCTGAGACCGAGGCGCTGTCCAGAATTTCCCCCTCCAAACTAGACTCATGTCGAATCTAGACCGCACATTCCTGGTTCGGATGCTCATTTTGAACATCGACCCTGGATCCTGTCTGTCAAGCCTGAAGTCTGAATCCTGGATATTCCCAAAGCTGAGCCTCAGCGTTGAAAGCTGTGGCTTGAGCAAAGAATGCTGGGTACTTTCAAGCTGGATTTCTGAATGCTCTGGTTTCAGCAATGAATTCTCTAGCCCAAGAACCGTTCTGCACTGGATTTCATGGATTCTTGATGCAGTAGTATCCAGATTTTGGAGCTCAGAATGTGAATGTGAGCGGGCATAGTGCAGGCAGAAGCTGAGCGTTGCGGTGAGTGTGAGTGCTTCGTGTTTCCTATTGTGTTTAGATCAGCGTATTAGCTTGTAGTCCGATGCTAGTTTACATCCACGGTTCCTTATGCGGTCAACCTTGATACAGAGAAGTTTTTTACTTGAGCTTCTTCGCTAGGGGAGTTAGGTTTTTTTAGACGGAGCATTGGGATTGAACTCTGCTGAAATATCTAACGGTTTAACTGCTATCAGGAAAGCAACCGTCGCCTCACGTCAGGTCAAGAAACGGGTCTTCTCACGTTATCGCCAAATCTCCTTGATTGCATCGTCCTTAGCAGTTAGAGTTCAGGGTCCGTCACTGGCGGACTGCTGCGTTCTTCGGAAGCAAGGCATTTGGGAGTTTGACGTAAAGCGAGACGCAGCTTGCGTCCGTCACTGGCGGACTGCTGCGTGCTTCTGAAGCAAGGCATTTTATTGAAGCTTGACGCGACGCAGCCATGGTGGAACCCTCATCCACCACCGACGAGAACCACTGCGAACCGGAGAATAGAGACGATTCCACCTTCAACACCATGAACAACAACTGCAGCAACAGCAGCCACAACAACTATGGCAGCAACGCCTTCCTTCAGTCCGTGTCGGAAATCCACACCCCGCTGAGCAAGCGCGAGACGAACAGCGACATTCACTACCGACCGTCCGCGTTCGCATCGTCGCTTCGTGAAACCACGAATCACAAATTCCATCCCGGCAGCGCGGTTCACCACGGGAGCTACGGAACGCCGTTCACGGGAGCGCGAGGCGGGACGCCGTTCACGGGAGCGCGAGGCGGGACGAAGGTGCGCCAGTCGCCGGCGGTGCAGAGGAAGGAGGTGCTCCAGCTGATGGAGGAGCGGGATGAAGCGCAACGAGCGGCCAAGGCGATCTTCGAGGAGAAACGAGATCTCGAGGTACCAACTTTACGTCCCGTTCATTCAATGTGTCTATGAATGCCTATGGTTGTTCCTTAACGTCCTTATATTCTTGAATGATGACAGCCGGCAGTCGGAAAGGCGATACGCAATATCATCTGAACGTTCTTATATATGGAACACAATGATCTGCTTTTTTTTTTTCCGCTGGTGTGTGTGTGTGTGCGTGTTTGATTTATCACCTCTATTTTTTTTATTTGTGCTCCATATTTTCTATTGCAGGCTGTGCACGAGCGGTTACTGGAGGAGTACGAGGAGAAGGAGATGGAGCTGGAGGAGGCGATGGCTGCCAGGGACGCGGAGGTCAACCGACGGAAGCAGCTCGAGGTGTGTTCGCACGGAAAAGCAACGTTATTTCGCCATGATCTACTTTTGGGAAATCTTTCAGATTTCCGGGGTATTTCGCGTTTTGAGCCGTCTCACAACTCGAGGTTCCTTTCGCTTTGAGGCTCCGTGTCATTGGCATGATCACAGCATGGCAAGTTGGTGCATCCTTGTTATTTCATGATTCATCCCATGGCGATCTCCTTGCTATTGCTTAAAACGACGACGCGCCGCTGGTTACGTTTGTCATGTTGACCTGAAACGAAACTGATACATTAACCTTCGAAATGTTTCAAGTCTCCTGCCAGGTCCTCGCATGCCTTGCGCGTCAAGAAAGCATGTGTGCCTTCCACGCATCTCGCAGGCTGCCTCGCCTCATTGAAGTAGACAGAGGCTGGCGTTCACAGAGTAGCAGTCGGTGCAGGAGCAGATGCACGCGGAAACTGAAGCGCCTGAATGTGCCCCTGCATGCGTAATGTGTTTCCCTTCCCACTCAACCCGCAGAACGCCTTGGCTGTGGCGGAGGGGAAGGACGGAGACGGATGGCGGCGACTGCAGAGGGAGCAGCAGTTGCAGGAACAGGTGCAGGCGCTAAGGCGGGAGACGGCGGGACTGAAGCGACAGGTGGAGGAGGCGAAGTGGCGCGAGGAGGAGACGAAGGAGAAGCTGAAGGAGTGCCAGAACAAGCTGGAGCAGGTATAGGGCAATAACTTGGCTGAGCCTGAGCAGGAGCAGGCACGAGTTTTGAGCAATGTTTGGCTGTTCCGAACTTGAGCAACAAGAGGATCAAGACGCGACTGCTATTCGGTGCTTGGATCAACGACTCCTGAATTCCCACACACGGGCTACAACTTCCACCGAACTCCCATCCCGTGATCCCTTTCCAGGCTGCTTCGTGGAGGCGCAAGTGGGAGGCGGCGGAGAGGGAGCTGGGCGAGGCGAGGCAGGAGCTGGCTCGCCTGGAGGTGCAGCAGCGACGCCTGCCGCACATGGAGAAGCAGCTGCAGGTGAGCCTCATCGCCGGGTATGCGTTTCCTCCTTCCACTGGGTATGGGTACCGTCCTTGGCAAGCAAGCTGGTCTGAAGCAGGCGTGCACCTCCAGCTCCTCCCGAAGCAGGAGCTGGCTCGCCTGGAGGTGCAGCAGCCGCCGCGCCTGCCGCACATGGAGAAGCAGCTGCAGGTGAGTCTCACCACAGCGTGTAGGTATGGTCCTTCTTGAGCCGACTTAAGCAGGCATGGTTTTCCTTGAAGCAGCAGGCTGTCGGCCTGCTTGGATATGCAGCAGAAAGTCAAGCGGTATTGCTGTGCTGGTAACATGTGCTATTCACAACATCTTTTCCTCCTCCCTGTTCTTCGCGTGTTGCTGTGTCCTTCCCTTCGCAGAACCTGAAGGGGGAGGTGGAGAGGTGGAGAGGCAAGGCGGAGGAGATGCAGAGAGAGGCGGAGGAACAGAGGACGAGAGCCAAGGTGGCAGAGGTCAAGAAGACGACTCTTGAAGAGCTCGTCGCTTCCCTCACGGTGAGAGCGCTGAAGCTGGGGTTCTTGCGCTATTCTGTATGTTGGAGTATCTTAGAGGTCTTGTCGAGGGAGCAGAGGACGAGAGCAAGGTGGCGGGTTTCAAGAAGGAAACCGTTGAAGGTGCGTTGGAGAGTACAAGGAAGTTGCGTGAGCACGGTCGTTGGTTCTGTGAAGTAGGCTTTCGCACTCTGCAAGAGAGCTGCTAGGCTTTTATCGGGATCCATCTGAGAGGAGGAGGCTGCAGGTATCTAACATTACGACTTTGCTAGGCTTTTAACTCTCTGCCAGTTATGTCCATCGGTTACAACTGTGAACTTCTTTGCTGCATTCTCCCGCTTGTCTTTCTCTTCAGAAAGAAGAAGATAGAGACGATGACGACAGTGAGGGCAAACGGGAAGAGGAAGCAGAGGTGGAAAAGTTGGAAGAGGCGGAAGAGGAGGAGGCGGAGGAGGATGAAGAGGAGGAGGAGAAGTGGAAGGACGAGCAGGTGAATCAGCAGCTGCAGGTGCTGAAAGAAGCGTTTCAGGAGTTTGAAGGCATCAGATCCTCGTGTGACGAAACATCTTCTGCAGAAACAGCCTCTAAGGTGCCTCAACAGCAGTGTGAAGGCATTAACGCGGCTGATTCCCCCCACTCCGCCTCGGCCCCTCCCCCGTCCCCAGCCCCCGCGGTTGGGGGTGCACTAGTTGGGTACCAGATAGGCACGCCAGGGGCGTGGGGAAGGCTGTGTATGACGGCAGGAAAGGAGAGTCTGGGCGGGGCAGGGAGTGTGTGCACAACGGGGAGTGTGGGGAGCGTGGGGAGTGTGGGGCACGGACAGAACGAGGAGACGGGGAGGGTGATCAGGAGCCTGCAGTCGAAGGTGCGCGCGGCGCTGCGGGAGAGGGACGCGGGGAGGGTGGAGTGCGCGCGGCTGAGTGAGATGGTGGCGGGGCTGCGGAGGGACCTGGCGCGGGCGGAGGAGGCGGAAGGGAAGGCGGGGGCAGAGGCGGTGGAGGTGCGGAGGCAGCTGCTGCAGGCGAAGGAAGAGCAGAAGGCAGAGGTGAGGGGCCAGGGTCAGGAAGATGCCGCTGCTGCTGTTTGTGTTGACGTGAGTTTTGTGTATTCCTGTAACGGAAGCTGTGTGGGTCTTTTGGGTGCTGCTGGTGGCAGCGAGAATTTTCCTTGAGACGCCTCAAAAACATTTCTTCCTCCCTCGTTCCTTCATTGTTCCCCAGGCGGAGGCTCTGCTGGCGGAGAGGGAGCAGCGGGCGGCGCAGCTGATGGCAGCAGAGGGAGCTCGGCTGGAGGGGGAGAAGGAGAAAGCCCTGCTCGCCGCGGACCTCTCGTCCACCAGGTGAGGGATTGAGGAGCGAAGTGCTTGGGACGTGCTCTTGAGGGGTGCTTGGTAACGTGCTTGCATGAAGGGTCGAAGGAGCTCGGCTAGAGGGGGAGAAGGAGAAGGCTCTACTCGCCGCGGACCTCTCGTCCACCAGGTGAGGAACTGGCGAGCTGAGTGCTTGGAATGTGCTTTTCAGGGATGGTTATGTGCTTTGAGGGGAGAAGGAACAACTGACAACTGACTGAAAAGTGACAGATTGATGACTGACTTGTGACAGGGTGCCTCAAGCCTGCCTCTTTTCGTGGCAGAGGTTTCCCGCCTGGAAGGACCTTTGAAAGTTCTCAGAAGTGACTTTTTTCGTGCGTCCCGTATTGATTTGCGTTGCAGGGCGGAGGTTTCCCGCCTGGAGAGGAGCATGGCAGAGTCAGAGAAGCTGTCCAAGCAGTGGTTATCCTCGCTACAAGCAGAACTCGCTGTGGTTAAAACGGAGCTGGAGCGCAAGGAGCGCAAGCTGGAAGAAGCTACACGCGAGCTGAACGTTAAGTTTAGGGAGTGTGAGAGGATGGAGAGGGCCTGGGAGAAGCAGCAGGAGGCTTGGAACGGAGAGGCGCAAGAGGCAGCGGTGCAGCTCGTTTCAGCGCGGTTGGACCTGGCTGGTTGCGGTTTTGAGAGGAGTGAGGCCGAGATGGAGTGGGAGGAGGAGAAGAGGGCAAGGGAGGAGGAGTGGGCGGGCAGGGAGAAGGAGTGGGATGGGGAGAAGCTGAGGTGGATCAAGGAGCAGCTGACGTGGGCAACAAAGGAGCGAGAATGGGCGAAGGAAGCAGATGAGCAGAGGGAGCACGTGGCATGGCTTGAAGCGAGCCTGTCCGGGGTAGAGCAGGAGAAGCAGGAGCTTCTGCAGGCTAAGAAAGAGGCGGAGCAGGAGACGGAGGAGGTGGAGATGGAAAGGGAGGAATTGGAGCAGGAGAGGAGGAGACTTGAAGGGGTGGTGGTTGCTCTGCGGGACGAGGGTCAGCGGATGGAGCAGGAGCTGGAGGGGGTGCGGAAGCAGGCGGAGGCGGAGCAGCAGGCAGCACAGCAGGCGATGCAGGAGTGGAAGCAGAAGGAGCAGCAGTGGGCGGGCTGTGAGGCGCAGATGGCCGCTCAGGTGGGGTGTTTGGATGAGGAGATCACTGGGCTGAAAATGGCACACGCAGCGGAGCAGCAGGCGTGGGCGGAGAAGGAGTGCAGGTGGGCGTCTGAGGTAGAGGAATGGACGCGGAAGGAGCAGCAGTGGGCGGGCTGTGAGGCGCAGATGGCCGCTCGTGTGAGGTGCTTGGATGAGGAGATTACTGGGCTGAGGGAAGCGCGAGCAGCCGAGCAGCAGGCGTGGGCGGAGAAGGAGAGGCAGGAGCAGGCGCGAGTAGCCTCTCTGGTGGAGCAGTGGGGGGAGAAGGAGGAGCAGTGGGAGGCTGAGAGGAGGGAGCTGGTCGGCAAGGGAGAGGAGGTGTCTGCTCAGGCTTTGATTCTGACTGAAGAGTTGGCTTCTGTGAAACAGACATATGCGGAGGAGCAGCTGCAGTGGGCGGAAGAGAAGGGGGAGCTCGCAGCTAAGCATGAGGAGCTATCTGCGCAGGCTATGCTTCTGACTGAAGAGTTGGCTGCTGTGAAGCGGGCTTACGCGGGGGAGCAGCAGGAGTGGGCGATAAAGGGGAATGAGTGGAGGGCGAGGGAGCAGGAGTGGGAGGTGCTGGAGCAGCAGCAGAGGGTGCGGCTGGGGGAGATGGAGACCGCGTTGGAGTGTGTTAAGGCGGAGAAGGCTGCTGTGGAGGAGGAGGTTGGAGACGTGAGGCAGGAGAGGGAGGAGCTGACGAGAGCCGTTGATGCTCTAGAGCGCGAGAAGCAGGAGCTGATCGCAGCCGTTGATTCGCTGGAGAAGGAGCGGGCGGCAGAGCGGGAAGAGTGGGGAGAGAAGAAAGGGGAATGGAAGAAGGAGCAGGAAGTGCAGGAAAGGCGGATGAGGGAATTCCAGGGCATGTTAGAAGCCATGCAACAGGATAGTTTGCAGCAGAGAAGGGAGTGGGAAGGCAAGGAAAGGGAGTCACTGGCAAAGGAGCAAGAGTGGCAGGAGAAGGAGCTGGCGTGGCATTGCAGAGAGGGAATTCTGGGTGAGGCTCTTGCTGCCGTGGAGGCAGACCTGTGTGTGGTGAAGGGAGATGTGGCAGAGAAGCAGCAGGCGATAGCAGCAGCGGAGCAAGAGCTGCGCCTGGTAAAGGGAGAGCTGACAGCGAAGGAGAATGCTTGGACGTGCAGGGAGGGTTTCTTGGGAGAGGCTCTTGCTGCCGTGGAGGCAGAGCTGTGTGTGGTGAAGGGAGATCTGGTAGAAAAGCAGCAGGCTATGGCAGCAGCGGAGCAAGAGCTGTGCCTGGTAAAGGGAGAGCTGGCAGCGAAGGAGCAGACGATTGCATGCTGGCAGGAGAAGGAGCAGGCTTGGACTTGCAGGGAGGGCGTTCTGGGTGAAGCCCTTGCAGCAGCGGAGGAGGAGTTGTGTGCGGTGAAGGGAGGTATGACAGCAAAGGAGCAGCAGTGGGTGGAGAAGGCGGGGGTGATGGATGAACAGATGGCAGCTGTGCAGCAGAATCTGGCGGCAGCTCAGGCTGACGTGGAGACTGCTGAAGCTGAGCTGGCAGCAGTGAGGAATGAGCTGGTAGAGAGGGATCAGGAGCTGGCAGTGACGGAGCAGCGATGGGCTGAGAAGGAGGCGGCATGGGAGGTGACGAGGTTAACGTTTGAGGGGAGGGTGACAGAACTCGAAGGGAGCGTTGCTAGCTTGGAAGAAGAGAGGTCAGAAATGCAGCGTAAGATGCAATCCAAGCACGAGCATTGGGCGGAGAAGGAGCAGCAGCTGCTGCTGGTGCAGCGGCAGCAGGAGGAGTCAGCAGCAGGTGCTTTAAGAGCTGCAGAGGCAGCAAGGGAAGAGGCGGAGGTGCAGGGGCAAGCCTGGCTGGCTCGGGCAGAAGCAGCAGAGAAGAGAGAGGAGGGTCTGAGGGAGGAGATGGATGGGTTGGTTAAGGAAGGTGCGGCAAGGCACCAGAGAGTAGTGAGGGACTTGACTGAGGCGCGTGGGAAGCTGGATAGTGTGAATGCGCGGTTGAATGCGGTTCTGGGAGAGAGAGATGGGTTGAAACGGGAGCTAGAGGGCGTGAGGAGGGAGTTTGGGAGGGAGAGGGACGGGTGGGTGAAGGAACGGGCTGTTCTGGAGGAGAAGGTGTGGGGTTTGGAGGAGAATGGGAGGGGTTTGGAGGAGAAAGTGAGGGGTTCGGAGGAGTCAAATGCGCAGCTGAAAGCAGCAGTATCCCAGTTGCAGGGGCAGAAGGTGGCATTGGAGGAGACGGTGGGAAAGCTGAGGGATTTGAATGTGGATCTTGAGCAGGCGAACGGGCAGCTGATGGGAGGCAATGTGCAATTAGAGGCGAGTGTCGGGCAGCTTAGATCGGCTAACGTGCAGCTGAAAGCAGCAGTGGCGCGGTTGGAGGGGGAGAAGGGGGCGGTAGAGGCGGAGAGGGCGGAAGGGGAGGCGGAGTGGGAGGCGGAGAGGGAGGGGATGGAGAGGGAGAAGGGGAGGTTGGTGGGGGAGAGGGAGAGGCTTGTGTGGGTGAATGCGCAGTTGAAGGCTGCTGTGGGGAGGTTGGAGGGGGAGAAGGGGGAGGCGGAGTGTGGGAAGGCGGAAGCAGAGGCGGAGTGTGCGGAGCTGAAGGGGGAGAGGGCGGAGCTGGTGATTGAAGTGCGTGCGTTAAAGGAGAAAGTGAGTGGGTTGGAGGATGAGAAGAGGGAGGTGGAGAGGCATTACGAGGAGCTGACAAACGAAGTGTGTGTACTGAAGGAGGCTGTGTGTGGGTTGGAAGCGGTAAGAGATGGGTTGGAGGAGCAGAAGAGGGAGGTGGAGAGGGAGAATGAGGAGCTGCTAAAGGAGAGGGAGCGACTGAAGGGCGAGGTGGCAAAGGTTATGTCAGCAAAGGGAGAGGTCGAAGCAGAGAGGGAGGAGTTGCAGACAGCACTGGGAGAGGCGCGTTCGGAGAAGGAAGAGGTTGAAGCAGAGAGGGAGCAGCTGAAGGGAGCGCTGGGACAGGCGCATGAAAAGATGACTCAACTCGAAGCCGAGAGGGAGCAGCTGCAGGCAGGTATTGGTGAGTTGGAGAGGGAGATCGGCCAGGTGAAGTCTGAGAACGAGGCCCTAGATGCGGCTAAGAAAGGGTTGGAGGGAGCACTGGGGCAGGCGCAGACAAAGGTGGGGCAATTTGAAGCGGAGAGGGAGCAGATGGAAGCAGGTATCGGCGAGTTGGAGAGGGAAATTGGCCTGCTGAGGGCGGAGGGAGCAGCTTTAGCTGCAGAGAAAGGGGCGCTGGAGGAAGAGCAAGTGGTGCTGCTGGCTGGTGCGGCTGAGATGAAGGCAGAAATCGAGCAGCTGAGAACTGAAGGAGCAGCTTTGGCTGCAGCGAAGGGGGCTTTGGAGGAGGAGCGAGTGGTGCTGCTGGCTGGTGCGGCTGAGACGGAGAGAGAAATCGAGCAGTTGAAATCTGAGAATGAGGCTTTGAGTGCGGGTAAGGAGCAGTTGGAGGGAGAGAGGGAGAGTTTGCTTGCAGAAAGAGAGAGTGTGCTGGCTGAGAGGGAGGGTCTGCTTGCTGATAAGGCTGGGCTGGAGAAGGATAAGGACGGATTACTCGAGGAGCGGGAGGTGCTTCAGCAGGAGAAGGGTGATTTGGAGGAGAGGGTGGTTGCCCTGGCAGGTGAAAGGGATGGGCTGACGGTCAAGGTGGGGGAATTGGAAGCCGAGAGGGCTCGTCTGGTGGAGAAAATTGCAGGTTTGAATGGCGAGAAGGAGGCGCTGATGGGTGAAAAGGAAGCTTTGATTGTGCAGCACAGGGAGCTGGAAGGTGAGAAGGCTGGTCTGATGGGGCAGGTTGCAGGTTTGAGGGGAGAAAAGGAGGCGTTGCTGGTTGAAAAGGCAGAGTTGGTGGAATGGAAGTCAACAGTGGAAGCTGAGAGGGATGGGATGCAGGTGAAGGTAGGGGAGCTTGAGGCTGAGAGGGATGGGCTGAAAGTACAGATGGGGGAACTGGAGGTTGAGAGGGAAGAGCTGATGGTGAAGCACAGGGAGCTTGAAGGTGAGAGGATTCGCTTGATAGAGCAGATCGAGGATTTGAACAGAGAGAAGGATGTGCTGATGGTCGAGAGGGAGGAGTTGGTGGAGGAGAAGGCAGCTTCGGAAGCTGAGAGGGGTCGTATGAAGGTACAGATACGGGAGATGGAGGTCGAGAGGGCGGGACTTATGGAGCAGATCAGGTGCTTGCAGTCAGTGAAGGAGGCGCTAATGGGCGAAAAGGAGGAGCTGGTGAGGGAGAAGGAAGCAGTAGAGGCTGAGAGGGATGGGCTGAAGGTGAAGCAAGGGGAGCTTGAAGCTGAGAGGGCGGTTCTTGTGGAGCAGATTGGGTGCTTGCAGGCAGAGAAGGGGGTGCTGGAGGGGACAGTGGGACGGCTGCAAGGGGAATGGACAGCGCTTCGAGGACAGCTTGATTCGTTACAAGGGGAGCATGACTCGTTACAGGGAGAGTTTGATTCGCTGCAAGGGGAGTTCAGTGCAGTGCAGGAGGAGAAGGTGGGCGTGGAAGCGGAGAGGGCAGAGCTGCAAGACAAGGCTCGTGCTCTGGAGGAGAGGCGAGCCGATTTGGAAGGAGAGAAGGCCGTTTTGGAGGGAGAGAAGGCCATTTTGGAAGACGTGGTGCAAGGTCTGAGAAGCGAGAAGGAGTCAGTTGAGAGTGCTAACTGCGAGCTCAAAGCCTCGTTGAGCGAGAGCAGGAGCACTGTGCTGCAGCTAGAGAATGCGCTGGAGGAGAGGGAGGGTGCTGTGAGGAGGTTGGAGGGAACTGTGCAGCAGCTAGAGCAGACAGTGAAGGAGAGGGAGGGCGCTAATTGCGAGCTCAAAGCATTGCTGAGCGAGAGTAGGAGCACTGTGGCGCAGCTAGAGAATGCACTGGAGGAGCGGGAGGGTGCTGTGAGGGCTTTGGAGGGCACAGTGCAGCAGCTGGAGCAGAAATTGGAGGGCGCTAATTGCGAGCTTGAGGCCTTGGTGGAGGAGAGTAGAAGCACTATTCAGCAGCTCAAGGAGACGTTGGAGGAGAGGGAGGGCGCTGTGAGGAGGTTAGAGGGCGCTGTGCAGCAGCTAGAGCAGACGTTGGAGGAAAGGGAGGGTGCTAACTGCGAGCTTAAGGCGTTGGTGGAGGAGAGTAGGAGCACTGTGCAGCAGCTGAATCATGCTTTAGAGGAGAGGGAAGGTGCTGTGAGGAGGATGGAAGGGACTGTGCAGCAGCTAGAGCAGAAATTGGAGGAGAAGGAGGGTGCTAACTGCGAGCTTGAGGCGTTGGTGCTGGAGGGTAGGAGCACTGTGCAGCAGCTGAAGCATGCACTGGAAGAGAAGGAGGGTGTTGTGAGGAGGTTGGAAGGGGCAGTGGAGGAACTGGAGGGGGAGCGGAAGGCAGGAGAGGAGGAGGTGAGTGCGATGAAGGTGGAGCGATCAGAGCTAGAGGCTTCCCTGCTGCGACTACAAGTGCGACAGGTGGAGCTGGAAAGTAGCCTGCAGGAGATGAAAGGAGAGAAGGAGAAGTTTGAATCACGGCTGCAGGAGGCACAGCAGGAGCAGCAGGAGATGCAGCAGCAGATGCAGGGGAAGGAGGAGGAGATGAGAGGCTTGCAGGAGGATTGGACACGGGTGGAGCAGCGATGGGATGCGGAGATGAGGGAGAAGGAAGCTGCGTGGAAGGAGCTGGAGGGGAGGCTGAGGGGAGAGGTAGCAGAGAGGGAGGGGCAAGTGGGGAGGCTGAATGGGCTCGTGGAGGGACTGGAGGGGCAGATGACAAAGGAGAGAGAGCGTGTTTTGGCTCTGACTGGACAAGTGAATGAGCTTTTGGAGGTGAAGGGGCAGTTGGACGAGCAGAGGGAAGGGGTTGTGAGGGAGAAGGAGCAGCTGGGAGAGCGAGTGAGGGAGTTGGAAGGGAGGGTGGTGGAGGTGGAGGAGGAGAGGGGGAAGGCGGTGCGGGAGTGTGAGGGTGAGATAGACAGGAAGGGAGAGGAAGTGAGGAGGTTGAGTGACGAGGTGAGGAGGATGGGAGAGGAGGTGAGGGAGAGGGAGAGGGAGATGAGGAGGCGAGAGGAGGAGGTGGTGGTTGCAGTGGAGGCCGAGAAGAGGAGGGTGAAGCAGGAGTATGCCGAGAGGGAGGCAAGGAGGGAGGAGAGGATGGAGAGGGAGATTGGCAAATTCCAAGCAGCCGTGCAGGAGGAAAATCAGACTCTCAAGCAGAAGGTGAGAACACGGGACACATGTATCATATTCTTAAAGTTCTTATGAAACTGATTGCCAAAATCCAAGCAGCCGTGCAGGAGGAGAATCAGACGCTCAAGCAGAAGGTGAGAGCAAGGAACGGGCATCTGACCAGCAAAGAAATGCACAAGAAAGGTCTGTTATGCATCTTCTCGCTCTCTTGTGTACTCCAGTGTAGTTTTGCAGAGGCAGCAGCAGATGGAGCAGCAAAGACGTGCGGAGTGATTTCCGAGGCGCCATCACAAAGCCACTCAAATTGCCTTGTCGTGCGCTCTCCTCTGCTTCCCTTGTTCTTTCAGGTGGATGGCCTGGAGCAAAGGCAGCAGGAGATGGAGCAGAGGATTCAAAGGGAGGAGCAGCTGCAGGAGAGCCAGAAGCAGCTTCAGGCTATGGAGAATCAGGTGAGCACTGAACCTACCAGTGCTGTAGTACATTACATGGGTTGTCTCCGCACACTCTGCTGCCTTTCCTATATTTTCACCATTGCCAACCCTCCCACCCCCCATCCGCTTCCCCTCTTTTAAAAGCTGTGCGTCCACTCCACTGTCTTCCACTACCCCTCTCCAAATGCTGCTGCGTATACATCACACACAACCCAATGCTTTCTGCTCACATTCATTCATCCCATAGGTTCCTCAGCAACTAAGAAGCTCCTTCTTAATTCCCTTACACTCTGCAGCTTATGGACAAGGAGAAGCAGATGAAGGTTGCTGAGCAGCAGCTTCGGGCCGAACGCGAAAGGATGGCTTGGGAGCAACGGCTAATTTCCCAGGCCTTGTTTGACGCCAACCTGGAGCTCATGCACCGATCAAAGGGATCCTCATAAGCACAAATGCTACACAAGAACAGCTGCCAAGATGACTTTGGCTTTAAACACAACAACCCTTACTAGTTGTGGTAGCTAATACTAGTTGTTGGATGTGTGTTTAGCCTTTGTTATTCATTCAGACCTTTCTTAACTCCCATTGGCATTTCACTGGCTTATGGTTGACATTTGTGCATGGAAAGATCAAGTTGTGTAAAAGGAGAAGATGACAGTTTTTTTTACTCTGTTTGATAACACATAACGTATAACTCGACCTGAAGCGGAAATGATCCCGTACCAGTAACGGAACCATTCAGGGAGATTGCCAAGATCCAAGCTCACTAGGAGAGTGCTTTTTCTCGTGACAGGGTTTGTTTGAAAGCTCACTAGGAGGAAAGGGGACCACAGGCGAGTCGTCAGCGCTGGTAACAAGCTTGACTCTTCTCGTCAGGTTAGGGCTACGACAGCCACGTTCGCCAGGTGTAGGTCGTTGGCGACGTTGACGAAAGCAAAGTTCCAAGAGCAGGTGAACGACTATCATGGCGCAGCCCACGAGTCCCACAGACCACGCATGCGGGCATCGTATACGGTGCGCGTGAGAAGATGAATTGCCTTGGTGCGCATCGGTCTGATGCGGTGCAACGGGCTTGGAAAGGGCGGGGCGGGTTGTTTAGTTAAGATCAGATTTGTCGAAGTCGTGTGTACTCGGATGACAGAGAACAAAAAATGATTTTTTTTGAAAGTGTGAAACACTTTCTAAAAATGTGTATTTTGAAAGCGAAGCTGCTTGTAATGCAGCAATGGCAACGGCGAAGTGCTAGACGCTCTTCGCCAACTATATAGCAGGGGGTGGAGGCCATTTGGCCTCCACCCACGTCTTCGTTTGAAATTTAAAATGTCTTATTTCCCACCCACCCACCCACCCTAGCAAAAATTGCATGTTGTCATGTGTAATGTAGGTACCATATATATCCCGGACGAGAATGATGTAACGCCCATTCGAAACGAAGCTCGTTGCCATTGCAAACACAAGAAAGCAAGCTTTCTAAATATACAGGTTTCCTTCTTTCCACAAAACGAGCCTCAGGTTTCGTCAATTGTTTCCGGAAGCTACGCTACTTGTCCGTGACGCTCTAGGAGCTACGTACTTGCAAACACCCTGGTTCCCTAGTTCACTTGTCTTTGTTGAGTGTGGAGGTAAAGTAGGAATCGAAGGGGTATGGGAGGGGTGTACTACTTTTTTTTAGCAGCTGTGAGCGGGAACCACGCAACCACAGCCTGTGGTGATAACGCACGTGGGTTATCCGCGAATCGAATGCTTGCTCCGAGCGAGTCGCTGTCAAGCTCGAACACCTCGTTCAGAGCGGCGCTGTCGTGTAGATTACATGCAGGCGCCGACACCTTGAAGATGGTTTTCCGTACTATCCATCTTGAAAAACGGTTTAATCCGACATCTTGAAGATCAATTCACGAGTAATGTACCCAAATGTACATACGAGCGCAGGCGGAGCAGGCGCAAGATGCGACGCAATGACTGCAGATAGGTATTCGTGAGGACAGGTTGGTGAGATGTCTCGTTTTCATTCGACGAATGGCTTCCCAGCAGTCTAATACGTGTGTTCGTCGGCCGGCGAAGTCACCACCTGGCACTCACTGCCAAGACGATGCTCCGCAAGGCTTGCCGCGCTTCTCCACAGGGCTTTGCGCTTCACCGCAATGATTTGCGCTTCTCCGCAAGGCTTTGCGCTGCTCCGCAAGGATTTGCGCTGCTCCGCAAAGACTTGCGCTGCCAACATGCTGCGTCACGGCACGCTATTAAGCTCCACAATTGCAAGGGTTTCTACAGCTAGTAGTAGCGATCAAATCTGTGCTGTTGCGACAACAGATCTAGCCGTACCACCGTGGTACGCTAGTAGTAGTCTTTCTCCTTTGTCACGCCTGCTTGCTACAACTTAAGTCATTACTTTCCGAAGGCGAAAGACTACTATTAGCGTGCCCCACGTCGCCCGATCTGTCGCTTCAGCCTGAAGATCGTCGAGATCCTCGACGCGAGATCGCTGAAATCGTCCCGCAGTCTCGGCGACCGGCGAGGATCGGCGATCGGCGATTGGCGCTCGCCGAATCTGCGAGTCAGGAGACAAAATGGCTTCCTCTACTATAAAGGACCAAATGATTCTTGCTGCTGCCGTTACTCTTCTTCTTGTCTGCATCGTCGCGCCTGCAGGTGAGTCGTGTGCATCGGCAAAATTGTAAGATTCTAATCCGGTCCAACATTGGTCCAGGCCCGCAAAATATAACGCTAGGACATAAGAGTTTGGGGCGGCGTGCCTTCGAGCCGATTCTCGCTTTCAGTAGTCGGGCAGACCATCGCTTGTGCAAGAGTTGAAAGAGGTTTATCAGGACTATCGCAGGCGATATCTTGCACGTTTTGTGCAAGAGTTGAAGGAGTTTTACTGGGACTATCGCCTTTTTGATACTGGAATCTATCTTGCACACGTTCTCCTTTCTTTCTCCCTCCAAAGTCCCACCTTTCTGGCCTCTCCTCTCCTGTCTAAGGCTCTCCCGCACAGAAGGTGATTTTGCGCGGAATACTTTCCGTGTCTTCTAGGGGTCTCTGCAGCTCCTTTCCGTATCTTTTAGGGGTCTCTGCAGCTCCTTTCCGTATCTTTTAGGGGTCTCTGCAGCTCCTTTCCGTATCTTTTAGGGGTCTCTGCAGCTCCTTTCCGTATCTTTTAGGGGTCTCTGCAGCTCCTTTCCGTATCTTTTAGGGGTCTCTGCAGCTCCTTTCCGTATCCAGATCCGTTTCTTTATTCCTCCTCATCGTGTGTACTGTTTAAACATCTTGTTTAACCCTCTGGTAGTAACCTCCCCTCTGGTATTACCCTTCTCGTATTGCTGTACGTGTGCCTCATGAGTATGTTCAGGCCTCATTCTATGTTCGAATATATATAGATAAAAACCATTTACTGAATTGTTGCGTTGTTCAAACATAGTGTACGGGCCTCCAAATTATAGATTCCTCGAGGAATCGCCTCCTATCTGCCCTCCCCGCTCCTGTGATACCTGCGGATGTGCCTTCTTCTCTCTGCTCTCCCCGCTCCTTTCCCATCTCTATGACTGTCTGCATTTCGTATCTACATCTGGTTTTGATACCCCCTCCCCCTCCCCCCCACACCCCCCCCCTTCCCCCCCTCCCCTCCTCTCCCCCACACCCCTCCTCTTTATTTAACCAAGCCGTTTGTCCCCCTCCCATATTTTTCCCTCCTCGTGTTTTACACTTTTCATGTTACAGCTGCCACTCCTCCTGGCCCTCCCCCTCCTCCTGCGCCTTCTGGTTGCGCCGTCAAGAAACTGCGCATGTGCCCGTGGGTGTGTGACAACAAGGACAAAAAGAAGCCCCCCTGCTTATTGAGGAAGGTTTGCCCCAACGGCCAGATTTGCATTTCGTTTGTCCGAAGCTGTAAGGGGTACAAGTGCGTTAAGGTGTTTTCCGCAGGCAAGATTGGACGTCGTGGTCTTTTTTAATGGTGGCATTGGTTTCCTCAAACCTGGTTGTATTTCATGTAATCTAGAGTGTACGTAGAAATCTACTGTTACAGACAGTAATTGGTTTTGTAAGCTGAAGTGATTCATGACTGTGAATTAAGAAAACAGGAATGAAATGACTAAGTGAAAGTTGGGTACAAAAAGCAAACCCTAGAAAAACTGTACCCCATATGTGTTACCCCACTATAGCCTACAGTAGCTATGTCATATAAATCTGACACACCCCCATAGGCAAAGTGGGGGAGAACAAGGGGTCACAGGACCAGTCAAGCAAAGCAAAACAAGCTCAGGGTGGATCACAAAGTCACCACACATTCCGAGCACAAGTTCAAGGCCACAAGGCCAGTTCACATGCAGGATTGCATATATATATATATAAGACTAGACAAGCAAGAGCAGGTGTATATATATATGCAACAGTACAAACAAGGTCAAGGGGTGAGCAAGTGAGGCAAGGTAGGCACAAGACCAAGCTGAGTACAGAAGCGCTGATGATCACAAGGCGCAAGTGCCTTGGTGAAGATATCAGCAGTGTTGGCCTAAGAGGCCACGTACGCAAGCCGCAGCTGACCACGCTGCTGTAGCTCACGAGCAAGGAAGTAGCGGAGAGCAATGTGCTTCGTTCTGTGCTCCAGTCTCTGCTCTCGACACAAGGCCAGCATGGCCTTGTTGTCTACGTACAGCACTGGAGGAGAACGAGGCGGCTCTCCGAGGTCAGTCAGCAGGTAGGTGAGCCAGCGAAGCTCCTGTGCAGCCATGGCCCCGGCGTAGATCTCAGCCTCACAACTGGAGCCGAGAACAGAAGACGAGCGGGTAGCCCGCCACGAAACAGAGCCGGAACCAAGGCTGAAGGTGTAACCCTGTGACGACCGCTGCGTAGCCTGGTCGTCAGCCCAAGAAGCGTCTGCGTGCCCAGTGAGGACCACTGGACTCTGCCCTCCAAGCACAAGCCCCATGCCCGACGTACTGCACAAGTAGCGCAACACCCTCTTCGCTGCAGCCATGTGCTCCGGTCTGTGTCTCCCAGGAGCAACATAGCGTGCAAGAATGCTAAGAGGGTACGCAAGGTCAGGTCGTGTGCAGGTCATCAGGTACATGAGGCAGCCAACAAGCTCTGGGTACGGGCCACTCGACTCTACGGACTCATCCGAAGGCAGAGCTGAGAGCGAGTGG